ATATTATATATATATATATATATAATGTATTTTAGTGTGCTGCTGCTGGCTCCGGCAGATGTGTGTATACACTATACATTATTGTATGTTTATCTATATATATGTATATCTATATTTATATATTTTATGTTTGTGTGTTATTTGGTGGTTGTGCTGCAGGAGTGGTGGAGTGGGAGCAGTTCCTGTTCTTTTTAGATGAGACACCTACGAACGGTTTGCATGCAACTGTTGATTAAATTAGAGGATATTTATAAATAATAATAATAATTATATATTATAATTATTGTATTATATAATTTTTTAAGTAATTTTACTTGTTTTTGCAAGTTTTTGTTAAAAAATGAGTAAAAAAGAGCAGAACATGCATGATGATGATGTTGGTTTCGTCTGTGTTTTTGTATGGATGCATATATCCTCAAAAGTATACAAAAAGTAAAGATAAATATAAATAATAAATATAAATAATAAATAATAAATAATAATTAATAAATAATATAAATAAATGTCCGAAGAAAGCCATGGCTGTTGGGGCCAGAGCCGCCTCTCATGATTTGCATATTGAGGCGGCTCTTTCCAATACCTGCTTTCTTTCCCGACGTACAAAAGGACAGAAAAGCCACAAAAGATGCACCGTTCTTATTTATACGGTGCATAGAGCCATTATAATAAAGAATAATATATAATATATATATAACAGCCAATTAATTGGGTATATTTATATATATATTTATATATATAATAATAATAGATAGCGGCATCCAACGCGTATCCAGCTCTCTTATTATTATTTCATCAAATTCAGCATATTATCTCATCAGTTCTATACATATATATACATATATGTATAAACTTTATCATTATATATATACACTTTTATGTTTATATTTTATATATATATATATATATAAAGATATATATATTGATCGATTGATACATATATATCAGTATGCAAGAAAGCCAACAGATGGCCGCAACATACTCATAAGGCCATGCATAGGAAATGGCCTCCTCCCCTTAGGCAATTCAATGATTATAATCAGTATAATAAGAATAAGAATAATCATAGTGATTTATTAATAATATATGCAGATACTACATGAAAAACGCAGAGGTGCGGGCCTACCGTCGCTCCTTTCTTGCATTCTATTCTATATACTACAAGAAAAGGGAGGCGAGTACCCACAACCATGAGCCGTATATGCAATATATATTTATAACATCACGACTGCGTTGCGTGCATCGCGTGTATTACCTTTTGTAGTCCTAAAATACTGTGTTTTCTCCTGTCGTCCCTTAATGCAAAAAGCAGATCGCCAGGCGACTCGCTATCCAATACTGCTGTTACCGTTACTTGATGCAAACCAGCACTGGGGAACTCCTGCTCCTGTACAATAAGAAAACAACCACAAAAAATAAAAATATACTATAAAATATAAACAATTATTATCTACATACGACAAAAAATAGAAAATATTAAAAAAAAATAATAAATATTATGCTTCCTCTGCTACTACTACAACTTATATTCTGCATAATCTCGCAGACATCTGTCAGTAAAGATGAATGTATATGCATTAGCCCATTCTAGTTCCTTATGAGGACAGTTGCCGGCAGCAGCAGATGCAGCAGCAGCAGGGAGCATCCAATGCAACTCACCTTAATGATGATAGGGGCTCCCACGCAGCTACCACTGCGTGTTGTTAATTTCTCCACTGGTTCTGGCAAAAGACAAATCGAAGGCCGGCCAACAGCGGATGCCCCCAAAAAGGCGTCGAGCCCAGCAGAAGTCTCAACTATTAACCTGAAGCAAACAAAGCAGCACGTATGCATGCATGCATGCACTACTATGTGCAGTAGGTGGAAGGATCAAACATGCTGCTAATCGAGAGCTGTAGTCTATGCCCATGGCTTCTGCTGCTCCTTTGCTGCCTCCAGGGTAGATGCGTGCAACTCACCCTGTGTCTGCTGTGTCTACAACTCCAAATCCGCAGAACTCCGCTTCAAAAAGAGTTTTGAGCTGATGCAAGCTCCTCTGCGCACAGTCGAGGCGCGTGCGCGAGGCCGTCGTGTCTTGCATAATCCCCCACATGATGCCAGGCATACTGCAGTAGCCCGCCACGCGAAACCACCTGCATGCACGGAGAGAACGCACATGCAAAACCGCAAGTAAATTCCGTGCGAAGCAACAGAGTGTTTCTGCATGCATATCTGGGTTTATTGGACCACCGGAGTCCATGTATGCGCATGCAAATGTATGGGTTTGCTTGTGCGGGTTTGCGTGCATGGATATTTGGGGCTGTTTCGTGGGTCTAAGCCTACCTGATCTCCGCATCTGAACGTTCGTAAGGAAGCTCAATTGAAAAAGAAGCCCCCTGGGTACGAAGACGTCTGATGCATTCTAAGAGCTGGGTTTTGCCGGGCTCAAGGAAGAAATCAGTCCAGTTGGTGGTTGCTGGGCTACTGCTGATGGGGGTGCGGGTATCTGCAGCAGCCAGGAGGGAGAAAGGTTCCTTCCCGGCAACAGCATGGCCAGTGAGACGTCTCAAAATGGTCTTCGAGTGCTCTAGCAGAAAACCTGCTGGGCCTTTCTCCTCTATTTGCAACAAAGGCGCCCCTCCTCTCACTGTAAAGCGCCGCGTGTAGCTGTGCATATGTGGATTCTGTGCAGTCCACGAGACAGGAGGCGGCCCCCATGACCCCTCCGGCTTCTCGTTAGTTTCAGCCGCAACAGGAGTCTGATAAACTGATGGACAGAGAGATGCAGGAGCAACAGGAAGGCTGTTTGCTGGGGAACCTGAGGATACACCTGGCGAAGACGCGCGTAAGAAAGAAGAAGTTACGACTGCGCTCGAAGGGGCCTCATCCTTGTTTCCATCACTGCTGCTTCTGCTGATACAGCTGCACATAAGGCGAGGAGACACTGCAGCAAGCTCTGTATAGCAACGCTCCTGCTTTCGCTCCTCAGAAGACACTGTTAAGGAAGGTCTTTCCCCTCCCGAAGAACCGCTATAAACCACTTCGCAAACATCGGGGTCGCTCTTTTCCCTGCTGCTGCTGTCGGCGCCTACAAGCACCCCATCAGACTCTGAGGGGCCCCCTGGATCAAGTTCAGAACCCGAACCCACTGCTGCTGCAGCTGCTGCGGCGGCAGCCGCAGCAGCTGCCGCTGCTTCAGCAGGGGGGGTCGGATCTAC